GTTGTTGTTGTTGACCAACTCTCTCCACCTCTTTAATTTAAGAACCCCTTGACAAAGCTAACCTCACCCTTGCAGACTACAAACAGCTTGGCACAGGGTATTCGACTGGGTATCCAAAACCGATGTGGGCAGTCAAATGCCGGAAACATAAACTATAAACTATTGTATATACATAACCCAGTGGTAGTCGGGCCCATTGGAGACAAACCTCATGTTCATCCAGTCTGCCAGACATCCAGAGCTTCTCCAACTCAGCTTGGACACTTTGCTCGCTTCGACATGACCGAACAAAGCTGCTCCTCGCCCCAAGCCCCTGCATAGGGCCGGTTCGTTCCACCAAAGGTTCCACCTGGAGGATGCGATGAGGAGCAGTGCATGGATGGATCATGAATCAAGTTTGAAGGTTCAGATCCTCGAGCAAGGGCTGTTTGTTCATCGAGCAAGGGCTGTTTGTACAAAAAAAAAACATGTACGGTACACTTTCTCATGCAAGCTTGTTCGTTGACGGCCGCCGCAGCATGAGATTTGCTGGTCTGCTTAGTCCTTCCTCATCTCTGAGAGCCCTCCCTCTTACTGTTCATCTTCCGCAAATGCCTTCAACTCTAAACGTGAAATGCTAGTACTTGCATTTCTAAATAAACCTGGAAACCCACAAACTCAGAGCGCAAGGGTATGCTACATCTCCAAGATGTTGGATTACAAAGCTTCTAATCAAGTGGAGAAGGACGCAACAAAAATGCAGGAATCTGGTGAATAGACGAACATGGTCAAACAGGCTGTTACACATCCTATCTGCTTGAGGATACTCTAAGAATTTCGACAGCCCGTCAAATGTGAACTCGCCGCTTCTTAAGGGGGTTGCCATTTCTTCAGGGAGTTACCACTTCGCGGCTTCACAGCTCATCTGGACAACCTTTCTGCCAGACCAGGCCTTGCTCCGTATGCTCCCAGACCTTCGGCACTACATAGTCAGCCGGTAGGGCAGCCACCAATGGTGTCTCCACCACCGGGGTGGGGACGCTGCAGCAGGAGAATGGCCACATCCGGTGACTGCTTTTCAAAGGCACACGATGAGGAGGGACCGATAGTACGGACCGCTGGAGCTGGAAAACTTGAGCCGTCATAGCACGAAAGACAAAGAAGTCCCCAGGCATACTCCAAGTGACATGAAAGAGATGAGCATCCACAAGCAATCTGGATAGAACCCGCGGTCTTCCACATGAAGAACTCGTGATACTTCCACTACAGTGTCGGTATACATCATCTGCAGGGCTGATACAGTGCATTTTGCTCGACTTCAACAAACCTTTGAAGAATCCGTGGCACCGAACTCTTCGCCCCCGAACGCCCACGGGCGGCACTGAGGAACCCTGACCATGGCTCCTTGGCCAAAGTCCGCATCCAGCTGAAGCCTCAACTGATGGTTTTGGGACAGAATATCCCATAGGACCTTTGTAACCTTCCAAATACGCCAGAAACAAAATTGGGGCGGAAACTGATTCGTCAGGGCTGCTTCATGGTCAAGAGCTAAGTGTATATCAACTGTCTCTGTTCTTGAATATTTGAAGGGTTCAAGATAGGTTGCACGATCTCGTGATAGCTGAGGACGATGTCGGAGTGTGAAAGAGGATTCCTGGTGTCCTGGCAATCTCCCAAAGGGCTTGAGATTCTTTTTCATGAAAACCCTAGCTCCTAGCCAGCCCTCACCGAGCAGAACATCAGGCTTTTGCAGGTCCAAGCAACCCAAGCATATACAATCGATTTTGGCAAGTGTCAAAAAGACTGAAAGCAAGAAACAAACGTGAAAGACCCTATTGGATGGACCAAGTGCTGGGTTCGCGGGGCTGTGCTGTCCACAGCACACGCCGAGCGACAGCCGTGCAATGTCCATAAGCAGATGAGCCGAAGCCTGGCCATGAAAGAGGCGAATCACAACTGAAGATATATGTTCACCTGATGCAGTGGAGGGCTTCCTCGTTTTTTAATTTTAAGGGAGCCAACGAAGCTGAACATCAAACCGTCGTTTACCACGGTTCGAAGAGTAGGGTCGGTTCAGAATGGGTTCCTGATCATTCGACCGAATACTCTCCAGTGAAAGGAACACCATATTTCAACACGGCCTTAGGGGGAAGGAGACTGGGAGACAGTCTGAGTTTATGGAGGCCTGGCCATCGCTACTAGGGTGGAGGCCATTGCTACTAGGGTGGAGGCCACTAATTTCAGGGATCCTGCATCGTTGAGGATTTTGAAACAGTTGATGGATGTGCATCTGCGAAGCCCACGGGCTACCCCTGGGCACTCAGGTTGCTTGCATCCAGAGATTTACAGTATCAACAACCAAAAGTTTGAACTCCTGGAAATTTGGAAATCAATAATCTGAAACAGACAACCATCTGTTCTGCTGAACTCTCTCATCAATTGGTCCACCTGGAAGTAGGTGGAGACCGCTATGCCGCGAGTGGGCATCCGCACCTGTTCCAACAAAGACAGGTTCCCACGAAGAAAGAGGCCATATGGAGGACAAAAAAACTCCAAGCGTCCCTTCACTTGCGAATGGGTTCTCGGATTCCAAGGTCCAGCTGGATTCCCCCAAGCGACAGGCGGCAGAGGCATTTCCTCTTCGTTCTTTCAAGTCGGGCGGAGTCTCGACCGAGACGCCCCCCCGCACCAGGTGGCCCCCCGCAACAAGGACCGTGAAATAGATCACTTGGAAGTCCGTAGTGGGTGGGTTTGGATTGATCCGTGATGGCATTGCTACCATGCTTTGGCTGCTTAAAGTTGATTAAAGTTGATTAAGGTATATATTGTCCCTTGTCCCGGCCATTTGAACACAAATCAACACTATATACAGGAGGTGGTGGCGGGTGACGTGGCACCTGGGCAACTGCATGATGAAAAGGCCGCAGACCAGAGTAGGACGTTGGCAAGCCGGAGCTACAAATCTTGCCCCAGATCTTGCAGTACTGCGTCAGTATCCTGTATCCCCGCCCACCTCTGCGTTTGCATGGAAGTGCGTGGTGATCACTTGCGACATGATCATCTGGCAGGGCCGGAATCTGCTTCTGTGGCCACTCCGCAGTCCACATGTTTGGGTAGATGTCTACCCCTGCCAACCTGGCATCCTCACAAAAGTGTGGCCTGAGACAAAACGTGGAGGCAAAATCAAGCTCATAGGCTCATAGGCAAATGCGAAACGTGGTTGTGTTTCACAGAAAAAAATGCAGGAGGGAGCAATTGGAATCAAAACGGCAACCCTCCACGGACTTGAGGCCCCTTGAGTAGGCGAAGCAGCACCTCCTACACCGAAGCTTTTAAAAGAACCAAGACCAACGACACATCCATGCCTCTTCTTCAACACAAACAACACCCGCAAAAGCACCGCCACACCCCCACTGCCAACACCCTTCTCGCAGTACCTTCACGTGCGCGAGCTTCTCTTGCAACTGCGGAGATGCTTTGGCCAAGGGCGCTCCGGGCAACGAGATCTCGCAGCTCAAGGCCTCAGGTCGCCGCGGCGTCTTCAGCGAAGAGCGGCTCCGGCTGGGAATGGCTGAGGCTTTTGGTTTCAGTGGTTGAAATGGTTAGCTGGCATCCTTTGGATGGCTAGCACATGTTGGCACATGTTCAAAAGTGAGATTCCAGGATCATGAAGCGGTTCAAAGTTCTTGGATAATTAGAGACTCTCACCATGTATCTCAATGTTTGCCCGTCAATTCCTCCACCCAGCTCCACTCAGTTGAACCCCTGGGTCTTCCAGACAATAGTGGCCGCGAGGGAGTCGAACTCGTGCTCTCGGAGCATTGTTGGTTCCGGCCTGGCAAAACCCATGAAAGCAGGAATCGGATTCGGAACACCATCTGCCAGCGGTTGTCAGTCTCTTGGAACCGCGGTGTTTGCGCACAGCTGCAATAAGAGACTTAACTCCTGGGCCTTTCAAATTTGCTCAAGGCTCTTTCTCTTCCTCTAAGCCACTTGGCTGCCTCAGTCTGCCTTACCGTTAAAGAATGGGCTGCAAGCACGCAAAAGTAAATGAGTCTAAAAGGGTAAGGAGGCCAATATAGGCCGATCATTCCCAGAAGTCCAGCACCAACTTTCTGGCTCACTGTACCCCAGTATGGCTAGATGGGGTCAACTAAGTCGGGTAAGTCATGGGTTATTCCATCGCGCGATGCAAAGCAGGAAGCTTAGTCTATCAAAAGTCAACTCAGATTCTTGCGGTAATATAAACCTGGGAAGGGAACTGCTAGTAACCTTGGGGTGAGGATTTATGCCACTGACGTGGTTTCACGACCTTCTGTGCCAAGCTGTATGCCCCAGCAAAAGCTTGCAAACGAAGACTTGCCCACGAAAAAGGCAAGAAAAATACAAAAGAAAAACCTTTGTTCGATTCGGAGAAGGTGTTCAAGCTATGGTGGGTACAGCATAGAACTCCAAGCTTTGGCACTTCTTGTGGAAATTACTTGCAGTGTAGTTTACATAATTCAAGGATCTCTCGCCAGGGCCCAATTCTGCGAACCCAAACACATTGGTGTTCATTCTCACCCCTCGCAAGAACGGGGGTTCCGCAATGCCTCGGATTTCAACTGGGTGTGTGAAAACATGTCATGTAACATGCTGAGCATGCCGTTTTGATGTTGGTGCCTCTAAATAGATCGTTCCCTGCATTGACCCCATCATTGGATCACATAAAAAACAGCTGAAAGCGGCTCACAAAATCGCCTGCGGTTCAGGGACGCCACGTATTCCAGGACCTAAGGAAGTTGCTGGTGAAGGAAAAAGGAGAAACCTGAAAATTGCCAGAAAATAGTATACAATGGGTTGTTCCTGAGAACCAGGCAGCCGGTGGGTCAAAAAGCTAGAACCTGAATTCAATATTGTTGGGAAGCATAGGAATCCAAACTCAAATTTGGGTATGGACCAAAGCCAAATCCATGAAACCCATGGATACACATGTTGAGTTGTGTGATTTATACGTGAGCTCTCCACTTGTAGACTTCACTGCACAACTTCGTTTGGATTCCAACCTGTTGGCTGCGGCTAATTCAGGCAGTCCAACAGATCTGGCCTTGTCACCTTGTCATCTGAGCGGTAGTTGCCACACCAAGCTAGCTTTCGAGAAACACTGGTTTGAATGATACGTGCATAAGATGCACAGGATTTGATCTTGATGGAAGTATTGGTCCTCAACGCCCCACTAGACCTGCTGTTGCTAGCAAAGCTCATGCCGCCTCAAGCCAGCAAGTGTCCACCCAGGGAAGACCGCTGTACCAAAAGCCCAACCACATGAATAGGGGTTTCATGAGGTTCGAAAACACACATCCCCAGAGAGTTGATTTTTGGGCACGACCCAACTCGTTCGAAAAGAAAAAACGTAGTAGCGTCCTTGCTCCTAGTATATAGTACGGCCAGGAGCCCCTATTAGCTTCTTGCTCCTAGTGGCGATGCCAGGAGCCCCTAGTAGCTTCTTGCTCCTAGTAGCGATGCCAGGAGCCCCTAGTAGCTTCTTGCTCCTAGTAGCGATGCCAGGAGCCCCTAGTAGCTTCTTGCTCCTAGTATCCATGCCAGGAGCCCCTAGTAGCTTCTTGCTCCTAGTAGCGATGCCAGAACCCCTAGTAGCTTCTTGCTCCTAACTGCCACTGTCCCATGTCTTGCCAAATCCCCCCATTCCACCATTCCTATCCTCGGCTGCCGTGCCATCGCCGCGAAAGCACCATGTGCCCAGTCAGGCACTTGGTCGTCGCTCTTCCTTGCCTGGATGCCGTCGCATTCAACTTCTCAACGTGTCAAACAGGAGAGACTGAGACCTTTCATGGTGCTCTCTAGGCTGAGACTCTCAGGGACCCTTCACTACCAACCAGCACCTTGCGTCTGGGATTTCACTGATTCACTCAAAGACATACCCACAAAAAAAAAACGGTAATGGTAATCGAGCATATATATATATATGCCTAAAAGGAATTTTATTTTTTTTAAATAGCCGGATGCCACTGAGTCACTCTATTAACTATAATTGTGTTTTATTTACAAAAGGTTTTTGTAAATTAAAGTATTAATAGATTTTGATTTATTGTTTGTTTTTTTTGTATTTTTTTAATTTACAAAAGGCATTTGTAAATAAAAAAATAGATCGAATTTGATTTATTGTTTTGATTCTATTTATTATACAATATGAATCAATGTTATATCGCAATCAACTTGGATCTTGGATGAGTCACCCAAAAGATGAACCCCCACGTTCATGCTCCAACACTCCATCAACATTTGTCTTCCCGCACATCCTGTTCTCCCTTCTAAACCAAAAAAGGGGCAAGGTACAGTAGGGGATTGACACTTGCAAAGCTCACGAAAACATGAGAAGAATTATATACATGCACACACCTTTTCGATTGCATCAAACCTCAAGCACATCTTTCTTTGTCGCCAGCTGGCACGAAGCCAACCCCAGAACCCGCGTGGGAAATGCCTCGGACTCTGTTCAATCAGTCTATTGTCGCCAAATATCAAGAGCCAAAAACCCTGGACACTTTCTGGGTCATTCGTAAAGCGGCCACCAAGTGCAAAGCGGTCCAAAAGCGTCTGACATTTTGAGCCACACGTTTCTCCGCCTCAAAGGCCTCAAACACGGCTGTCTCCACTGGCGTGGCCTGGAAGGGTAAGACTTGGAACATCACCCCAGCAGAGAAGGACCTTCTGAAGAGTTCCCCATTGACCGCCGAATCGCTCTGAACCGAAGAACACAGGATCTGCTGCAATGACGAACCAAAGGCTATAGCGGATTTTGCGCATGTTCACATCATTGAAGTGTTGAAATCAAGTAGAACTTGCAATATTCAGCGCAATCAAAATTAGAATAGATAACTAAAATGAACAGTGCTTTGGTATGCTTTGGTAAACCAACCACACCTCGCCAAGAATTGAAAAAAAGAAAGGGTCACAGCCCTCCATATGTCTGGTTGATCCAGGTAACCGAAGGGCTGTTGAACTGGCCAACCCGTTCCGCAGACAGCTGACCCCCCACGATCCGCAAACAGCCTGCTCTCCTTCACCCTTCGTCGTGTCAAGCAGGTGGTGCTCGACGATGGAGCGGAACCTCCGTTCAAATCGATCGTAGACGAGACAGACAGCAAGTGGGTCAAAAGTTAAAGCAAAACCACGTGTGTTTGATGCTTCTGAGGTGGTGACCAAAGGACTTCATCCAGCTATTAGCTAGGTGGTATACCTGCTGTATAAATCATCTGGATGTTGCCAAATGCAACGCAACCCAGGGTGGAAGGCCTGATCAGCAATTGGAACTGAGTAACAAGATCAAAACATATCAAAACAGTCCCCTCAACCAGGCTGAAGTTCCTGTCACCAAAGCTGGTCAAAGTGATGTTTTTGACAGACCGGTCCGTCTGCTTTGACAAAGGACATGCTTTGGGTGGCTTTCCACCCTCGCTTCCAGCGACACCATCTCGAACCAGGGGCTTCAAAGAAAGCAAACGTGTTTCTTCATCCGCACATAGACTGTGTTTTGGTAGCCACCTGATACCAAAACAAAAAAAATACTCTCTAAGTCTAGGGCCTAGGGGGTATTCTTGGATCTTTCTTGGCTGTGGGACCGCAACCAAGTCTGATCAACCAGTCCCTCCAGCTGCCAGTGGCCCCGACATCTGCCAGCGATGCGACCAAGGCCATCTCAGCAGATCCTCCAAGGGAAACGCGGAGCCGATTTATACGTAATGCTGCATGCTATTATAACTGATATGAATTATTTGGCCTCCAACCCATTGCAGGCGTCTCAATCAACTTCCCAATGAATCATGGAATGCATGGAAGCTAATCTCTGTATTTCCAAGCATGCCATGCCAATCAAGACTTGACTAGCAACCTCAAAAGCACTTCTCAGCAAAGAAGTCTCCTCTGGTCACACCCTATGCACACGGTCAGTTTGGTATGCCTAAGGAAAGGAAGCCTACAAAGAACAGCTCAAGTGGGGCTCTTTGAGTGGCGCTCGGCAAATCCCAAACAGCCTGGACCGGCTTGGACCCTTCCACGTCGAGTTATCATGTATCACCACACGACCGGGCGGAGCCTGGGTTGGTTCTGTATCTAATAAAACCAACCCTTCTGCAAAGTCGGGCTTTGACGCATGTATTAGCTCTAGAATTACCACAGCTATCCATGTAGCAGCGACCATCAAATTAACTACAACTGCTTTAATGAGCCATTCGCAGTTTCGCCATGTAGATGAATCTTTCAGACAAGCACATGACTACTGGCAGGATCAACCAAGTTTCAACCTCACGCGCGCTGCGCTCAACTCTGAGGCTTCGCACACTGTGGATATCATCACAACAGTTTAAGTCGAGCACAGCTTTCCACGCTATGCAAACAATAACAACAACCCCAGAGATGTTCTCTCCAACCTTCCCTTTCTCAGCCACTGCTGTATGGGAATGAACCCGTCAGTGACTATGTAAGCTGCGTGCTCAACTCAGCTTAAAAGGCCGCGACCCAAAGCAGGCTAGAACGGCCTCCGCGGGGGGGCAGCTTTTGTGGATCCAGGACGATCTTGCTGCTGGTGACCTTGGTCATCGTCCAGTCGTCCAGAACCGATCTTCCCGCTGTTCGGACCACCACCGAGGCAGTCGTTGAGTTTGATGAGGGAAACTCACTCAACAATGGTTCGTCAAAGGAAACGCCTTTCTCAACCACACCGACTTGCGGTCAATCCCACCCCTCGCAGCCCTTCCACTTGTGTAGTGAGGAAAAAAATGAGATTCATCATGATTTATGTGTGTATGAACTCCTGTGCATGA